TTAAATTTATTATCTAATAGGAATGTAGCTAAGAATAACTTCATATTTACTTTGAATGCATAAATGAAAAAAATAATTTGGCTTTTGAAATCTTATTTATAATCATAAACGTTGGAGAAGCAAGCAGTGCAGTCTTCTGCACCTATACTACCTGTGAGGTCAAGGGGTCCTATGAGAATACAGCAATGATTCCTCAAGACCAGGGATCATCACCCAAAGAAATGACAGGTTTGGAACAGGCATACAAAGAATTGTTCTTCTGTTTAGACAAATTAAATGATCTTAGGAAATAATTTTGGGGGAAGATTATACTTTTGTTTTTATATAGTCACACGAAGCACTTAAGCACTAAGGTACAACCTGCATGCATGCAGTTACTCCTTAGTATAACTTACATGCTATTTAAAAAGTTTCCAAGACTTATACCATATTTTTTGGATATTATTTCTCAAAGTTGAAAACTGAGTTCCTTACAATTGCTGATGAACAGGCCATCCATTACATGTGATCTCCTGTTAACTGACTGACTTGAATTTGATCCACTGGTTAGCACCACGCACTTCAAAGGGTGGGTCGCTACTGTAGATGTAATGGCCTAGTTCTTCCAGAGGTGGCTCAGGATCAGCTGTGGCAAACTGGGCAGCATCCTCAATTTCTTTCCTCACTTCCACATCAATTTCCTTTAATTCTTCTACACTGGCAAGATTGCTGTTCACCATCCTATCCTTGAGAAGCATAATAGGGTCACTCTTACTTCTTACTTCCTGAATTTCTTCTCGTGAACGATAACTGACTCCAGGATCACTCATACTATGTCCATGGTAACGGTAAGTCTGCAGCTCCATCAGGATGGGCCCCTTCCCAGATCTACAATAGGAAATTGCAAACTTTGTTGCTTCCCAGATGCACAGGATATCCATTCCATCTACCCTCAGCCCAGGAATAAAATCGCCTCTCTTATAGTAATCAGTGCTGGCTGCAGCTTGCTCCACAGATGTTCCCATTCCATAGCGGTTATTCTCACAAATGAAAATACAAGGTAATTTCCACAATGCTGCCATATTGTAAGCTTCAAATATCTGGCCCTGATTAGCAGCACCATCACCATATAATGTCAGACAGACCTCATCTTTTCCATTGTATTTGCAGGCCAGAGCAATCCCAGCTCCTAGGGGCACCTGAGCTCCAACAATGCCATTGCCCCCGTAGAAGTTCTTGGCATACATGTGCATAGATCCTCCTTTCCCTTTAGCACAACTTCCTCTTCATCCTGTTAGCTCTGCTAGAATCTCCCGGACTGAAAGGCCCCGAGTGAAGGTAAAACCATGAGCCCGATAGGCTGTGATCAGATGATCGGTAGGATTTATGCCAGCCTCGAGTCCCACACAGCAGGCTTCCTGACCATCACACAAGTGGCAGAACCACGAATAATTTTCTGCTTATACAGTTGGTCTGCCTTTAGCTCTATCCGGCGCACAGTCTGCATCATCCTATAGTATTTGAGCCCCTCTTCCCTGGTGAGCACTGTGGTGACAGGTGGGCCCTCTTCGAGCCGATGAAGATCACATTTCTTAATTTCAAATGTAGCATCATTTGCAAAATTACGGGATGCCACTAGCACTCTGCTTGACGGCTTCTGGGCAGCGCCGGACAGCACGCGGGAGACGGCGACAAGCATCTTCCTCATGGAGCGCAGGCTGTGGCTGAGGCGGTGACACCAAAAGGACTCCTTTAATAATTTTATTGAGAAAGAAGTAGCAATGAGATATTTTCAAATCAGGCTAGTAGTACAGATACAATAATTAATACATTGCATATTGTTGTCTTTGTAGTAGTTGTTCCTAATACAAGATGCAGACAGGATCTCTTGTCTACACATTATTAGTTCAAAACCTTCTTCTCATTGAACTAAGAGAAAGTAACTGTATATTTATGCTATTTTGTATATACAGACATATACCTTTTTCCACTAGAAATGATCCATTTATATCCTCCTTTTTTGTTTATTTTTGTCAGAGATGTGTATTCCATTGCCATTCATATATTGTAGGTGCATGTATTCAGCAGAGTTGTTTCTGATTTTAAAGTGAAGATTTTAAGTAGTTGTCCATTTAGTATCATGTTGGCTGTTGGTTTGCCATAGACTGGTTTTATCATGTTGAGGTAAACAACATGTGTTCCAATTTTCTGTAGAGCTTTGATCTTGAACGAGTTTTGAACTTTATCAAAAGGTTTTTCTGCATCTATTGAGATAATAATGGGATTTGAATTTGGCTCCATTGATGTGGTGTACTACATTTACGGATTTGTATATACTGACTCATCCCTACATTCCTGGGATTAATCCCTCTTTATTCTGATATATATATATA